CTTTTAGCTAGTTATCCAGGTCTTCACACAGTCCTTGGCAAATTGTTAACACAATGCTTGTCGGTAAAGTGTCCTGTTGGTAAAATGACTTGTCGGTAAAGTGGGTGTCGGTAAAGTGTCCGGGTCCGAATGGGAGGTAAGCAAATTGGTAATAATGATAATAATAACAGCAAGCAATAAACGTATTAATTAATATGTAAAGGAGTCTTTACAAGCATATAAAAATAAATTTTGTAAAATTCCTTTTTTAATATTAAAAATCTTGTAATAATTTTCTACCTTCATGTTTTATATAATTATCATAAAATTTTTAGGGAGTGATGAATCAACATTATTTCTCACTCTTTTTTTTAGCTCATTATTATTTATTGTTAAATTTCTCTAGTGAAAAAATACATCATGCATACATCTTTAATGATTTAATAGCTACAAGTCTAGATGCCAAGATTCATTACTAAATAATATCCTAAATATGCTAAAAATTCAAAAAAAGGTCCAGCACAGAGAATAATTTCATGATAAATATTAGGAAGATTCTCAAAAATAATGAAGGATATTTGTATTGGCATTTGCACATATCCTAGTGAAATAATAATTAAAAAAGCACCAAAAAAGAATATACCAATACCTATATAAATCAACAAAAAAGGAATATAAAAAGAAAAGAAAATACCAAAGATAAACAAATAAAATAAAATACATGATATAATAATTACTATTGCCCCTATAAAACATGCACCAAATAAACAAAATCTAAGAAAAATTATCTTTAACTCCACAAAAAAAAGGTTTAGAAATTCATTAAGTTTTGGAGATATTTGAGATTCCTGAGCCTGAGACATCTGAACTTTCTGATACAAAAACATGAGTGATGTTGCAAAAGATAAACAAATAGTAATCAATACAATTATATTATCATATTTAGGATACAGGATCACACCTTGAACAGTTGATGGAATGATTAATAGTATTGGTTTTAGAAACTCATCATAATTACTGATCAAAATCATAATTATTTTAAAAATTTCAATATTAAAAGAATTGTAATCTTTTGAATTATTATACAAGCGAACTGCATTTAAAAAATTTATAAAAGCTGTAGAAATTATTATGCCCTTTTCAAATTCAATCTTGTTTGATTTATAACCCAAAAATTCTGAATTATTGAATATTATTATTACTGTAAAACCCCAAAAAATCATAGTTGATAATCCTTGTAGAATTGTCTTTGTTGTTATATCACATCCAATAATCATTCCAAGTGTACTCAGAATTATACTTAAAAAATTTAATATAATTATAAAATCAGACTCAGCAGCTTTTTTCTTTTCATATAAAGACCCTAAATGACTGAAAATGAAAATATCCAATACTAATAAGGACACCTCAATAAGATATAAAATATAATATGATTCATCAATATTAGTGGGAGAAAATGAATCAACATTTTCGTTGAATAAAGGTGGTGAAAGAGGTGAAGGGGAAATTAGAGTATGAGAAGAGGAAATAGGGGATGAAGAGAAAATAGTGGATGAAATTAGAGTATGAGAAGAGGAAATAGTTGGAGATAATGGAGGTGGTGGAGCTCTAACAATAGGAATCAAAAATAAACATAATAAAAGAGTGATTAATGTGAGTTTTCTAGAAAAGAATGTCAGTTTTTTAACATTAAAATATTCCATTTTGGAAAATAAATGGAGAAAAAAATAACAATAATTTCATAATACTTTGGAAAGAAATTTTAAATTAATTCTTTATGTTTACTAAAAAAGAAATATTGAGCATTGTTTGTAATTGCAATACTCGCTGGAACCAATCAGGTTATATGAGGTTGGACAAAAAGCAAATAAAAATCAAATTCAATTGCAACATTTAACAAACTAAAATAGTGCTTCCGGTAATAAACAACATCAATTTTATTTACTCTTCTAATAACACTTTAAAGGTTGTGTATACACTGGGAATCATGAGCACTATTTATGGAGATTCCATACATTTTCTGGTAATCGTGATTTGAATTTTTGAGTACTGGAAAATCCTCATCCTAAAAGATATGTTTTATTTTATTTAATAATAGAATTACCCTTATAAACAATGGATACAATTAATTTCAGTTTTTCACTGGGGTGCCTAAAGGATAAAACTTTACATAGTGACCAAAACAATTGTTTCTATAACAAATTTAAATCTTCAGCATAAGTTTGAAGTTTTCCAATAGTTGTTGATAACCATCCTAACTTATGTTGCTTGACGAAATATTATCAAGTCCACTACTATTAATTGAAAAATAACGAAAGTAAAAACCTTAGCTTAAGTCAAAGCCCTTGACTAAATGAATTAAGGATGAAATGAAAACCATTTAGTTCCTAATGATTATTATTGACAATTTATTTAAAATCCATTTGAATTAGGCGATAATACGAAAAAATATGTATCAACAAAGTTATTAAATTTATAAAAGATGCTAAAAGAAAGCAAGTTCCACATCTATCAATAATTTGATTGTGCTCATAATATAATTAAAGCTACCTTTCTAAACTCTAATCTCCTTTCTAAACTAGTTTAGAAACTCCTAAACTGATTTATGATCATATGGCATGTTATTTGTACTGTAGAATTATTTTTAAGTTATTTCTAAAGTGATCAAATCATTTAAATTCCTTCATTTAAATTTAACCTGAGAATTAAAGGTCTGTTGTATTTTAGAATGTCAGAATATTTATTTCTCTGTCGTTTTCCGTGAGTCATTATTTTATTGGTGATAGAATAACAATATGAATTGGACTGATTTGAATTCTTGATCAGTTTTCTTCGTGATATGTAAAATTACTATTTTACAGTAACGTGTTCCTGAATGACTTATTTAATAAATTTTTTATTCGAATGTTATGTGATATAAAACATATTCAAACAGGTCCTGTTTTTATACATACATATCTAAAGATTTTCCCGACGAGATTAACCAACCTAAATGCTTGCACACAATTTCAAAGATCGAGAATCACTGATTTTTTGAATTTCACAGCTGATTCATTAAAAATTTATCTATACTGATATGGGCGATTCGTTACTGATAGGTAGGGACCCAGTAACTTGACACATCTCTAGAGATGTGCCACGCATATTTTTTATAGACATTCACTTATTAATAAGCTTTTCTAAAAAAAAAATTAAATATGCATTTACTTTCTTATTATTATATGCGCATTTATGATATTTCCCTCCTTATGATATATATACACTATGCGCGAAAAAAAATCACGGTTACTATGAATGGCACATCTCTACACATTTCATATAATACACTGTTCCTAAATTGACATCAAAAATAAGTTTAATCATTTTGCTTCGCAGATACAAAGTGGCTATATTTATTCGTAAAAACAGAAGAAGCAATGATCATTACATTGGATTAAAACACCCTATATCCTGTGTGATGTGATTTGGTTAGCATAGAACGTCAATCATCCACTTTAGACAATTGGGGTCGCAAAATTGTCATGTATAAAAAATTAGTTACTACATACCAATTCTTGTGTTATTATTTGAGGGAGCAAATCTCCAAGTCTCTGTTTCATCTGAACTGGACACATCTAAACTGATATCAGATTCACTCGTCTCTGAAGAATCAGGAGTAATATATTTATTCCGCATTTACCAACTAAGCTTTTACTAATGATGAATCAATTAACGCCTTAACTGGATAGGGCTCATGGCCCTCATCATTATCTATATACAGATACAAATCTGAAGCATATATTTTTATTAATATGGAATGTTAATTTAGTGCTAGTGCTGGGACACCTTCATATTCTTCGGGTTCTAAACCCGGTGAATTTGGTGTTCAATACACCTAAAAACTTCCATCATCAAGTTTCCAAAAATAATACTATTTTTACTATAACCAGAATTAAGAATTCGGATTAATAAAAAAAAATGTGTTTAAATCATTTTAATATCTAATCAAAAATGTCTGATACAATAAGAGGTAATTTAAATAAGCAAATTGGTAGTAATGATAATAATAACAACAACAAGCGGTAAACATATTAATTAATATGTACCAATTGATATTATTTTCCTGGTTTATTTAATTTACAGAGAATAAAAATAAATTTTGTAAAATTTTTTTTTTCCTTCTACTTTCATGTTTTATATAATTATCATATTTTGAAGAAAAATTTAAAACACTCATCAGGCAGTAATGAATCAACATTATTTTTCCCTCCATTTTTTAGTGAAAGAAACTTATTATTGTTGTTGTTAAATTTCTCTAGTAAAAAAATACATTTTTAATAATTTAATAGCTACAAGTTTAAATGCCAAGATTCATTATTAAACAACTTCCTAAATATGCTGAAAGTTCTAAATAAGGTTTAACAGGAATTACATAGTAACAATCATAAAGAACCTCAAACATAGAGAAGGATATTTGTATCGGAATTTGCACAAATCCTAGTGAAATAATAATTAAAAAAGCACCAATAATGAAAAAAATAATACCAAAATAAATAAGCATAATTGGAAGATAAAAATACAATGTAAAAAGGTACAAAATCATAAAAAATAAAATAGGTGATATAACAATTACTATCGTTCCTATAAAATATGCACCAAATAAACAAAATTTAAGAAAAATTGTCTTTAACTCCACAAAAAAAAGGTTTAGAAATTCATTAAGTTCTGGAAATACTTTAGGTTTTGGATGTATTTGAGGTTCCCAAGCCTGAGACATCTGAACTTTTCGATGCAGAAACATGAGTGATGCTGCAAAAGATAAAATAATAGTAACTATTATGATGATATTATCATATTTAGGATATAGGATCACACC